CTCAACACCGCAGAATTTTTCTGTAGTTGTAGCCCGTAGCGCAGAAATCTGCGGAATTTAGATTTTTCCGTGTTAGCTGATTTCTCCTTCTTTAGATGGTTGCCACTTCGTCAGTTTTACAGATGGTAAAAAAGTTATAAGTTCCTATTCAAAATATGTTTAAAATATTTGAAATTTACTATTGAATAAGGTTTTTGTTGAAAACTAAGTAGCTAAAATAATAGCACAAAAAATTGTAGTTGAAAGGGTAAGTTTATGAAAAGGCATTGATGAGTGGCAACAGTGTGGTAAGCAACACTGAGGGCTCCAGTAATCGACAAAATTCTGCGTATACAGACTGCGTTTAAGTATACGTTCTGCGTTCTCGACTAATTTCAGCTTTAAGCTGAAATAAGTCAAGAACGTAAACCTACCGGTACGTAAACCCGAGTCAGCTGACACGATCTGTCTTACCAAAGTGCCATGTAAATGAAAACTCAACTCCGCAGAATTTTTCTGTAGTTGTAGCCCGTAGCGCAGAAATCTGCGGAATTTAGATTTTTCCGTGTCAGCTGATTTCTCCTTCTTTAGATGGTTGCCACTTCGTCAGTTTTACAGATGGTAAAAAAGATATAAGTTCCTATTCAAAATATGTTTAATATATTTGAAATTTACTATTGAATAAGGTTTTTGTTGAAAACTAAGTAGTTTATATTTAGCTAAAATCTATTATAGCACAAAAAATTGTAGTTGAAAGGGTAAGTTTATGAAAAGGCATTGATGAGTGGCAACAGTGTAGTAAGCAACACTGAGGGCTCCAGTAATCGACAAAATTCTGCGTATACAGACTGCGTTTAAGTATACGTTCTGCGTTCTCGACTAATTTCAGCTTTATACTGCGGTTTTCAAACTGTTTGTATATGCAGAGATGCGACACATTGCAACCATATACATTTCATATTTTAAATATTCAATATAGCAATGAACAATTTTTCTGAATTTTCCATTTCTAAAACGCCAATGCTAACCAATAACAAACGAAGCATCAACTTTGTTTCTGATGCGCTGATTGCTCGAGCGATACGTTTCGATAACTTTTCGTAGGTGTTTTGGAAGAGTATACATTGGCCCGTAGTCATAGTCAAAATAAAGTTGACTTTAAAGTTAGTTGCAGCTTTTTTGACAGATATCCCATTGAAAATTATGTCAAAAAGCTGCAACTAACTTTAAAGTCGACTTTATTTTGACTATGACTACGGGCCAATGTCAATATTTTGTTGTTCGACGTTATGGAACCTTATACTTTGTACGTATGCAAAGCAATTGACGTTTTGGAAGGCAGCCATGCTTTTGAAATCGACGCTTTGCTCGACGCTCTTTGCTCGCCGCTCCACTATAGCTTTGTTTCTTAACAGATAATTATCACAAATTATCACTAATTTCTGCTGGAAAGTGTTTCTTAACCCAAACAACTAGCAGCTCTCTCGTTCTTATGCTCTTCTTTTTTTGGCTCTCCTGCTAATTTCTGTTAGTAAAATTTTTACTAGCAGAAACTAGCAGCTGTCACATTCTCATTTTCAATCTCAAACAACAACTTTGAACAATTCCTCTTTTTTACTCTCAATTTTATACGATTTTAAAATGTTGGCAAACTTCAAAAAAAAAAAATCATAGCCGAAGCATTGAGAGAACGGTTTTACCTTACTATGCTTTTATCATGCTAGTTTCTGCCAAGGCATATTTAACAATGTAGAAGTGACAACTAGCTCGAACTCTCTTGTAGCTAGTTATAATGTCAAAAAACTGTAAACATACAAATTAACCCTATGAGGTGCGCGTGCCATGTTTGCTACAAATTAGCATCAATTGAACCTCATCATGCATGGTACAATAATTACAGGTATTGTCTTCCCAGAGGGTTTTGCTTCACATCGAAATTCGTGCTCCCTTATTTAAATTTTGACGCAGTCCAATGTTCATTCTTTTACTTTTATTTGGCTTTGCTTTTTGTTTTTGCTTAATTTCATTTAAAAAGTTTTTCAAAACAAAAGAAAAAACGTTTGAAATGAAGTGAGCCATACAAATTTAGAATTACTAAGCAAACGTTTTTTTTCGGCTTTTGCAGATTAAATAAGTTCTCTGCAAGAAGATTTGTTTAAAAGAATACGTGTACATATATGGTATATGGGGTATGGAAATATCCCTTTTCCCTAGCACTAACCTTTTAGTGTGGACAACAATGATATTTTTCAAATAAGGTAGATCGGAATATGCGCTCTCTGGGAAGACAATACCTGTAATTATTGTACCATGCTCATCATGGTGAAATTATACCAGGTGTAGTAATAAGCATGAACGAAAGACACAAGATCACGCCTTCCCGAAAGACAGAAAAAAGTTATTTTCCAGCTGTTGAAATCTCGACGCCATCTTTGTTGTAAGACAAACAACAACGAAGAGAACAAAAAAAACCGCGTAATTGTTGAACACCTGGATAATCATTTTTATTATGCAAATTCTTCTATAAATCATGTCGTTGTGTTAAATTATTCTTTACCT